CACTAAGACATAAGGCTGCTGCCCTACTGTGTACTCACTAAGACATATGGCTGCTGCCCTACTGTGTACTCACTAAGACATAAGGCTGCTGCCCCACTGTGTACTCACTAAGACATAAGGGTGCTGCCCTACTCTGTACTCACTAAGACATAAGGCTACTGTCCTACTGTTTACTCACTAAGACATAAGGCTGCTGCCCTACTGTGTACTAAAGCTGATTGTTTAGCCCACTTTTAAGAGAACATTATCTTAATCTCTTATAAGATTCCATAAATGATTTCTATAAAGTATCCCACTCCTTCCCCCGCGTGATTCTTACAGTAAAATTCAATAAAAGAGAGGACTACAAAGGGGACTGATACACATTCACACACAGGGACAGATGTAGAGACAGACAGACACAGACTCAGACACGAAAACAGACAGACAGACAGACCTCTTCAGAAAGGAGCAGATTCAAACTCATGCAACAGACAGAGAAGGGAAGACAGGGAACATGTAGAAAATTCATTCCTGGAAATGACTCCCAGTGGAAGTGCTTTTATTTCTCCTTAATGCCACTCTTTAAACACGTCACCAAAAGGTCATATCATCAGTTTGTACAATACCAAGAAACAGTTTAAAATATTTTCATAAGACATTTTAATGGAAACTATTATAAACTTACATACAGCATTCTACATAGTCTGTGTCAACTTTCAAAGAAATATTTAACATTAAAATTTCTATATTTTGAAAAATATTCCCGACATTGTCACTTCATGTGAGTAGCTCCTCATAGGTCCTTCAGAAGCAACTAAACAGAAAAGCAAGAATTATCAGTTGCATCAAAAACATCATTGTTGGCATCATTAGGATGAGCAGTAACAGAGGCATCACCAGTAGAATCTTATGTAGTGTCATGTCACAATGAATATCTTTGTATTTGAGAAGGGGTGAGAATGTGGAGTCTTAGTTCTTATTACATTGGTTTTATTCTCAGATGTTGCTTCTTTGGGGGGTGATGGTTTATAAAATAATGCTATCCATGTAAGTCACAGTGTATGGACACAGAAAAATAAAAATTAATACTTAACAGTTACACTTCTCTGCTTAACCATTTAGAAAACATAAGTTTCACATTAGGAGTGGAAATTATTCCCTCATTCCAGCAATGGAAACAACTGTGAACCTACCAACTTTACTTGATCAGTTTGGTTGGACTAAACTGATTTTGTTACTTTTATGTGATGTATTTCCAATATGATTGGAAAAGATGAGCATTTTTTTTTAGTTTTAGATAATGCCTAAAGGGTACTATACACAGCACAAAATTGATTTAACATACATATTAGAGCCAAGAAGAACTGGATTTCTAGTACAAAAATCTTCATCTATTTTAAACCACTGCTACTGTCTAACTTACCTTCTTAAGCTCATGGTAATTTTAACTGCACAGCACTTGCCAAATTAGGTAAAATACCCATGCCATCACCAATGCCAAGAATTTCAGAAACCATATTGAAGATTTTAGCAGTAAAATTGGCATGGTTGCTGCCCAAAGTGGAAGAGACTTGGAGTGAGCATTCATTGTACTACAGGTGTAGTCGGCTGGGTTTGCAGCAGGAACACGTACACTAGCCTTCTGAGGAGGGTCCAAAGCGTGACCTGGGACACAAACAAGAGCAGATTCCTGATCAGTAGTGAATCTAACACACTTATGATCTCTTCTAAGCAAGTTTCAAAAACAGGGTGAGCATTGTTCAAAGGGTTCATGGTGTCACCATTGTGGTTATCGGGAGCAGACTCAGGGTCAGCATGTGCTCTCCCCCTTGCATGTCCACTGTAAGTACCTAAAGAACGTGTGTAATCCAGAGTGGTGTTGTGAATTGTAATTTTCTCAGATGCCTGAAGAGTGTCACTTCTGTCACTTGCACGTGAGGATGATGTCAAGTCAGTGTGGGAAGGAGACAGGGGCACAATGCCATGCTTGTCAGGTGCATGAAGGTGTCTGCCTTCTTTTCTTCAACCTTTAAGAAAGTTTTGAGATGTTAGTTTTCATTAAAATTTTTCCTGATTTTTATTCATTTTAGAACTTATCTGTTAATTTTAGGGTCTTGAGTTATAGTCCCCAAATGTTAGTTCGTTCAGGGTAATTTTATCACCCTAACCACTGATATCCTGTAACTTCTGCTTCCTTTCTGTTTGAGTCAAAGCCCTGAGTTTGAGAATCTTAAAAGGGGACCTGCTCAGCTCTATGTCTTCTTTTCTGCTGCTCTTTGCTACCTGACATTGTCATCCTCTCTATAATGGGAAGATGTGAAAAGAAAAGGATACAATGTGTCCTCTCCTGTCTTTATGACTGGGAGTTTATATTCCAGCCAAATTAGTTGAATGTGACAATCAGGGGCTTTGGGAACACAAAGAACCTCTCTCTTCTGCACCACACTAATGCTTTTCCATGGCTTTCACGATTGACCCTTAGGTTTCTGGGAACAGGAACAGTGAGGGTGACTTTTGAAATGTGTGAATAAAGTGTGCCACTACCCACATCAGAGGGAAACTGTGGAACTAAGTAAGGATTCTGGGAGATGCCTTCCAAATTCTTACTCCCTAGTCGTGACTGTTCTTATACATGACTGATGGATATAATGGTCTGTTCCAGCATCTCTGTGGTGGCTTAAATGAGAACAGACTCATGGGCTCATGTATTTGAATGCTGATCTCCAGGTAGTGGAACTCCTTGGGGAGGGTTAGGAGGTGTGGCCTTGTTGGAGGAGTTGTGTGTCTTGAGGTTTCAGAAGACTGGTGCCATTTCCAGTGAGCTCTCGGTTTCTTGTATGAGTTAAATGTAGCTCTCAGCTGGGGCTACAGCACCATGCCTGCCTGAACCACAGTGGTAATGAAATTGTATGTGTCCCATTGGAATCATAGGCCCCACTCCGAACAAACCCTTCCTCCTTGAAGTTGCCTAGGGCATGGTATTTTATTACAGCAATAGAAAATAATATAACCATCATCCAATCACAGTCTGAATGACATGGACGAAGCCTGAAGGCCTCATTTGATGTGCTGAAGGGGTGTTTGTAGTGGATTATGCCAAAAGAGTTGAGACCATTCCATCACGTCTGCTTAGATAGGATACATAGAACACCAACTGATTTAATAGATACATTTAGAAAGTATCAGTTTTGAGAATGCATTTGATACTGTTAGTTAGGAGGGGTGCCTCATCAACTCTTATTCCAATTACAAACAATGACTTTAGGTTGTTGTCATTCATGACATCTCAGGGAGACTCCTAACGTAGCAGTCTAGGTTTACCTTTCTGTACCAGGTTTGAGGAGACTTTGTGCTATGTATGCAAAAAACTCAAATATTCCAAAGCTTACCCAACATCATCAAACAAGGCAACACAGAGATGATTAAACAAAATAGCTTAAGAAATATTGTTTGTCAAAGGAAAAAGATGAGGAAGTAGACATCCTACATGTATGTCCAAACTGCTCAAGTGCATCATGTGAAAATGTTCAGTTGATTGGTTTCCTTGAGAAAGACGAACTTGAACACATCAGAGCGTGAGATATTTGTGAGGGTTAGACACATTTTCACATATTGTATGTTTCGCTAATTGCTTCATTTACTAAGTATGCTTAGTTATAAAAAGGAAATGAAAGAGCCATATGGTACAAGTATAATTTTCCAGGACACATGCCACATAGAAAATAGAAAAACTGAAGATAAGTGAGAAGACCCTGAAGATATTTTCCTGGACTTAAGTTATACAACAGGAGCATCAATTAATATAAAGACACCATTTATTTATCAGGATACATAATTTCGTATCATTCTAAAAATTACTGGTGTGGGACAATTGTCCACATTCTGTCAATTATGTTTTAAATAAATGCTGATTGGCCAGTAGCCAGGCAGGAAGTATAGGCAGGACAACCAGACAGGAAGTAGAGGTGGGTCAATGAGAACAGGAGACTTCTTGGAAGAGAGAAGCTCCCTTGCAGTCCTGTCCAGACACAGAAGCAAGATGTGACTATGCCACTGAAAAAGGTGGCTAACACAGATAAGAATAATGGGCTAATATAAGTTATAAGAGTTAATAAGAAGCCTGAGCTAAGGGGCCAATCAGTTTATGATTAATCAAGACCTCTGTGTGATTTCTTTGGGACTTAACAAGTGCAGGAATCGGGCAGGACAGAAACCTCAAACAGCACATTATTATTGGGGTGTGAGCTTATGTGTTCACATTTCTATGTTTGTTTATGCTATGTTAGTGTGTGTGTGTATGTGTGCCTCTGTGTGTGTGTGTGTGTGTGAGGATAACCTTCAGGAGGTGGCTCTCTACTTCCACTGGGTGAGACAGGGTCTCTCACTGTTTCTGCTGCTCTGTGTGTTCTAGTCTGGCTGGTTTATAGGTTTCAGGGCTGTTCTACTCTCAGCCTTCAATCTGGATTTAGGGATATTGGGATTACGTATGTGAGACACTTGCTGCCTTTTGTGTTCCCTGGGATAGAACTCAGGTCATTAGGATTGCAAGGTAAGTGCTCTGTCCTGCTGGTCTGTGTGTGTGTGTGTGTGTGTGTGTGTGTGTGTGTGTGTGTGTGTGTGCTATCTTTTTAATAAAAAGATGTGTGTGCAGGAGAGAAGAGATAGACAGAGACAGAGATAGAGATAGAGATTGATTTTCAGCAGTTCAGAAGGAAAATGGAGAAAACTCATTGCAATGTGAGCCTTTTCTTTCTCCTAAGCTAACCATCATCTTTGTGCTTTTGGGGCCTGTGTACAGCGTTTCTGGTCACACCTTTTCATGAAGACTTCTACTTAACATTCTGTTAGCCAGGGGAACTGACATTATCTTGTTTACTGACTTTTCTGTCCTGCTCCATTCCCACAATTGTTAAGTCCCAAAGAAATCACACAGACATCTGCATTAGTTATAAACTGATTGGCCCAGTATCTCAGGCTTCTTATTAACTCTTACAACTTATATTAGCCCATTATTCTTATCTGCCTTAGCCAATATCTTATTCTTATTCTTATCTTATTATTATTAATATCTTATTCGGTGGGGCAGTCACATCTTGCTTCTTCTGTGACTGGGACAAGACTGTGGAATAAGTGTCCTCTTCCCAGAATTCTCCTGTTCTCTTTGCCCTGCCTCTACTTCCTGCCTGGCTACTGGTCAATCAGTGCTTATTTAAAATATAATTGACAGAATACAGACCATTGTCCCACACCATTATCTAGCTCAGGTTGGTGATTTATACTCATTACACTGCAATTACCAGATAATGGATTTTGAGAAACTCATGTGTTAATATAGTTTTATGTAAATCTAACATCATAAAAGTGATCTTTAGTTTTATTTCAGTCTCATCTTTGAAGGATAGAAACCACTACCTTTTGCTTTATTTGCCTCAAGAATTTGCTAATATCTCATTTCTATTAGTGTTATTGTGGTCTGTACTCTAATCCTTTGCATATCCAAGATGCTAATCCCTTTATGCCAAGGGGAACACTCCATGGTCACCACATTTATCACATTATCATTTACTTTCTGTATCAGCCTAAAAATTCTACTTTAGTCTAGAAATTATATCTGAGTTAATCATGTTAATTTATATGCTAATGAATTTTCACTGAAATCTTGGAAGATGTCTGGTGAGTGAATGTTTGCTTATTAAAATCTCTTGAGATCTATCTTGCTACTAGAACCTCCCTTGACCAATTACTCAATTTGATCATATATAATCACTAATATTAATTTAGAAACCAAATTAGATTAGACTTAAAAGAAAAAACATTTGAGTTTGGTTCTGACAATATTAAAATTACAGTTATCAATGGTTTCATTAGATGTAATAATTATGTCGAATCTGCCATGTCTCTCCTAATGTTGAACTTAGGTTCTTCAAGGTATTTAGTTAGATATTAACCATTTGCAATGGAGATTGACAATTGGTGTACATTGGGTGTAAAAGAACTGATGATTCTCTGGATTTTCTCAGTGTCTGATGTTATGTCCCTCTTCTCATTTCTGATTTTGTTCATTTGGATATTCTTTCTCTTTCTTTTGGATACCATGGATAAGAGTTTGCCAATATTGCTGATATTCTCAAAAAAAAATACAACTCCTTGTCTCATTGACTCTTTGTATTGTTTTCTTTATTTCTATTTTATTGATTTCAGTCCTCAATTTGATTATTTTCTGCCATTTACTCCTCCTGGGTGAGTTTGCATTTTTTGTTCTAGAGCTTTCAAGCGTGCTGTTCAGACGCTAGTGTGAGATTTCTCCAGGTTCTTTATGTAGGCATTTAGTGCTATGAACTTTCCTGTTAGCACTGCTTTCAAAGTATCCCAAAAGATTGGGTATTTTGTGCCTTCATTTTCATTGAATTCTAGGAAGTCTTTATTTCTGATGAGAATTGTTTAGTTTCCATGAGTTTGTGGGGCTTCTGCAACTAGTGTTGCTCAAGTCTAACTTTAACCCATAGGTGATCTGATAAGGCACGGAATTATCTCAATTTTTTATCTGTTGAGATTTGCTTTATACTGAGTATGTGGTTGATTTTAGAGAACCCCACAGAAACAGCAGACCCAAGGTCCTAAGAGCTCACTGGATCTTGACTCACAACTGGGAAACCTGTGTAGGACCAAACTAGGCCCTCTGAATGTGGATGACAGTTGAATGGCTTGGGCAGCTTTGCGGGACCTCTGACAGTGGGACCAGGATTTATTTATCCCTAGTGTGTGAACTGGCTGTTTGGAGTCCATTCCCTATGGAGGGATACTTTGCTCAGCTTGCATACAGGGAAGACAAGACTTGGTCCTACCTCAAGGGAGATGACAGACTTTGTTGACTCACCATGGGAGTCCTCATCCTCTCTGAGGAACTGTGTGGACAAAGAGAGGGACAAGGTAGGGGAAGCAGGAGGAAAGGAGGGAGAGGGAACTGAGATTGGTATGTAAAATAAAAAGGTTTGCCTTTAAAAAATGAAAGAAAAAAAGAAGTAAAATAAATAAAAACACAAAAGAAGGCTAATGCTTTTATAGTTGCTGTGATAAAATATCTAGCAGAGATTATTTAAGGAAGGAAAGAAGGCTCATGGCTACAGAGAACTCCTGCTTGCCTTCCCTGCTGTAATGGACAGACTTTCCCTGCAGCACTTACAGTAGGGAAAGCAATTGGGGAGGCTTTGTCTGTGGCCGTGGTCTATTGCTTCTCATATGCTGATAGACAGGGAAGCAGACAACTCAGAACTGGTTCCAGAAGTAGTGATGACCAATAAGACCCACCACAGACATCCTTCTGCTCGCTAGACCATATCACAAAGGCTAAATAATCTTCTAAATGGTAACAAAATATTCAGAACATGATCTCCCTTCTCTCTCTGTCTCCCTCTTTCTCTTGCTTAGAGTGGTGTGTGTGTGTGTGTGTGTGTGTGTGTGTGTGTGTGTGTGTGTGTG